GGTAAACCGTGAGACTTGGCAGCTCTTGACCGGCACATGATACAGTTTTGTCCAATTGGTAAACAGGAAAATTGAACTTTGACACATGCTATATAATAATGAAATTTGCAATCAGCAACATATTGATATAAATTAATATTGACAGTTTGCATGCCGAGATATAAAAAAATATTTTACATATAAGTTCGTACATAAGGGCTATAACACACTACACTATAACCCTTACAAAAGCTGAATGAAGACATATACCTTCTCTACAATAGAGATCTGCCCACGTATGATATTTGCCGAATAATTACTCGCGACAGAAGTCGAAGTATGCACGAATACGTCATCTTGTTTATACACAACCTGAGTAATACACAGAAATACAACATAGCAAGGTTATAATCCTGTGTAACATACAATAATAACATACTAAATAATAACATACAAACCTTTGGAGCGGCGATTTTTGGTGAATTTTCAATATTTTCTCTCTCAATCGCTTCGGCCATTATGATAATATTGTTGTTTTTTTTGCTAATGACTGAGCGACCTTTTAAGGAGATTGGGCCTGAATCTAAAAATGCTGATTAAGCATTACCTCATTGTACTATTTTTAACTTTTTGTAATTTAAACCTAAAAATATAAACTTTCGGCTATTTTATTAATATAACCCAATACAACTACTAGAAATTCTTCATTTTTAACCATTTTATGTTCTTGTAGAAACAAAAATATTAACAATAGTCTAAACAATTCTGAAATTAAACCACTTTGCCAAACGAATTTAATTAAAGACACCCCAGATTTGGGGGGTTCACCTTTCACGTGCCAGCTGAACAAGGAAGCGAAAGTAGAGAGCCTATATATTCTGTGGCCTAGCTTGCGGAGTTCGAAGAACAGAATACAGTAAAGTGTGTTTTCCTCGTTAATTAAACATTTCAGATTTGCCCATGGCAAACTGTGATTCTTTCCTACGCGATAAGTTCAAACTGAAAGGGGTGAGTGGCTTGAATTTTTATTTTTCTCGATCGTGTTTACATGTCAATGATGTCATGACAATCATGACATAACATTGTCTTTGATGCCCAAGAGCTTCAGTTCTGTTCTACAATTAATTAATATTATGTTCTTATATTTTATAGTATCCAAATAAATCCCAAGCATTAAGTGATGCCAAAACTGCCTTAGAACAATATAAAACACTAAAGCCAATTTTTAAAAACTGCTGTAAGTTATAATATTGAAATTTTGTGTTGTGGTTTTATACTAGTTTGTATGTACGTTATTATAAAAGCATGAAGAATAGACGTTTTTAGGCAACACCATAAGTGGGGCCAACACAGTGGCAGATTGCATTTATTTTCCGCACAGCGGGGGTTGAGGACGGGTAGGACAATACACAAATCTCAAAATTCGGGCAAAAATCACACTTAATTAAAGAAAAACATGTAGCTGTGACTAGATGATTTAAAGGGGGGGAGGGGAGTGAATAGGTTTTCGGATTGTTGGAATATTTCACAGAAAAAATTGTTTGGATTAACTTCGGATCAGGTGAATACATAGACGGATTTTCATATTTTTTACTGGGGTGGTGCCAGAAATTTTAGGGGGGTGAGCCGTGAGCAGGAGACTGAAGCAACACAAAGTGTCACCAAACCCCAGTAAGGTCTATTATAGATTCTAGGGGTGGAGCACTAGAGCCGCGAGGGGGAGTCTAGAGAGCAGAAAACAAAGTATCCCTGGAAAAATTTGAAAAAAATCATGATTTCTAGCTTCAAAAAAAAGTTTTTTGAAGTTGTCATATCAATGGATTTGGTATGCATGTCCAATTGTCTGTTGAGATTTGAGCGAGTTAAAGTTAAATAAACCTGTAAAAGTGTAAACCCAGCCAATACACAATATGCTTGTCCGATTGTCTGTTGAGACTTGAGTTAAATGAACCTGTAAAAGTGTAAACCCAATAGGCCAATACACAATATGCTTTTACTTTTATAAAATCATTGACATTGTGTCGTTTGAATCCAAGTACAATTTATGATGCAACTCCGATGTAAATAATATTTGGGACGTAAAGATTAAATCTAGGCAAGACTATTTCCTAAAAGAATTAAAAACTAAAAATAATGTTCGTAAAATTTCCAAACGTTCCTTGCAAGCAAGCTATTTGCATGACAAGGCACTGCAAACTCTATTCAGGGGAGATAATAGAGTTTCAAAACTTTACAATTGGTCCAATAAACCAGTGAATGCAAGCGAGAAGCGATTAGTTTCAGAGTATTGCACTGTCTTTTTCTGTTTGAGTGTACTCCTACGTTTATTTTGTATCATCAACACTCTGCACGTTGGAGTGGACTATTTAATTATTTTTTATTATGCCGAATATTGGGGGGGGGGGTGAAAATTTTTTTGGAGGGGTGGACATTTTGTTTGGGGGGGGGGATTATAGCTAATATTGGGGGGGGGTAGCACCCCCCCCCACCACAAAATCCGTCTATGTCATCATCACCATCATTTCCTTCATCAGCGCCACCACCATCATCACCAGCACCATCATTCCCTTTGTCAGCACCATTATCACCACCTCCACCACCACCATCATTACCACCATCACGACCATCACCTAGGTTTAAATTAACAAGTCCTTGTTCCTATTCCCAGCGTGTGATAGGCAATGCATATGTTGAAAGTCTTGGGGCATTCTCAAAAGTCACTAAACTAGTGCGGGATGTTTGGACACATGCCCCAGCAGAGGCCCAGCAAAAACCTCCGAGACCCCCACCCCCTGAAAGACCCCCACCCCCTACAAGTGAGAATTTCGACAGTCTACAGTCATTGGAAAATGGATTTGAAAATCTGTTACCTGACATTCAGGTAAGGATGGTATATAAAGACTTTTCCCAATTTGCTGCTTCTCGATGAAAACCACAATGAATTACATTGCCCAACTCGATTTCAAGCTATTTCAAATGAAAAGACAATGCAACATTCTGCTCACTGAATCGTGATGGGATGGCATGGAGAACAGCGAGATTTCCAAAACAATGAAAAGAAAATGGACATTCTGATCACTGGATCATGACTGGATGGCATGGAGAACAGCGAGATTTTCAAAACAATGAAAAGACAATGGACATTCTGATCACTGGATCATGACTGGATGGCATGGAGAACAGTGGTATTTTCAAAACAATGAAAAGACAATGGACATTCTGATCACTGGATCATGACTGGATGGCATGGAGAACAGTGGTATTTTCAAAACAATGAAAAGACAATGGAACATTCTGATCACTGGATCATGACTGGATGGCATGAAGAACAGAGAGATTTTCAAAATAATGAAAAGACAATGGAACATTCTGATCACTGGATCATGACTGGATGGCATGGAGAACAGTGGGATTTTCAAAACAATGAAAAGACAATGGAACATTCCGATCATTAGATCGTGACTGGATGGTATGGAGAACAGTGGTATTTTCAAAACAATGAAAAGACAATGCAACATTCTGATCACTGGATCATGACTGGATGGCATGAAGAACAGCGAGATTTTCAAAATAATGAAAAGACAATGGAACATTCTGATCACTGGATCATGGCTGGATGGCATGGAGAACAGTGGGATTTTCAAAACAATGAAAAGACAATGGAACATTCTGATCACTGATTCATGACTGGATAGCATGAAGAACAGCGAGATTTTCAAAATAATGAAAAGACAATGGAACATTCTGATCACTGATTCATGACTGGATAGCATGAAGAACAGCGAGATTTTCAAAATAATGAAAAGACAATGGAACATTCTGATCACTGATTCATGACTGGATAGCATGAAGAACAGCGAGATTTTCAAAATAATGAAAAGACAATGGAACATTCTGATCACTGATTCATGACTGGATAGCATGAAGAACAGCGAGATTTTCAAAATAATGAAAAGACAATGGAACATTCTGATCACTGATTCATGACTGGATAGCATGAAGAACAGCGAGATTTTCAAAATAATGAAAAGACAATGGAACATTCTGATCACTGATTCATGACTGGATAGCATGAAGAACAGCGAGATTTTCAAAATAATGAAAAGACAATGGAACATTCTGATCACTGATTCATGACTGGATAGCATGAAGAACAGCGAGATTTTCAAAATAATGAAAAGACAATGGAACATTCTGATCACTGATTCATGACTGGATAGCATGAAGAACAGCGAGATTTTCAAAATAATGAAAAGACAATGGAACATTCTGATCACTGATTCATGACTGGATAGCATGGAGAACAGAAATTATTCATTCGTTATGATATTGAAAGCTCTGGTTTTTTTTTTTACAGCCAGACCTTGGCCCCTCTCCTGACGTCGTCCTGGGCAAAGCAGTGGGTATGAATGAATGGATGGGTTTCATTAACAGCGAGGGAAAAGTTCAAAATGTCGAAGAACTCAAACGACTTATACACACAGGGGTAGGTCAATACAATGCCAATCATCCTTCCTTGCAGCTTTCCACCGTGATAGTTTCCATTTGCGAATTCAATAACATTGATTTATTGTGGAAAAAAATAAGCTTAGTATATAATTAATCCAAAATGTATTTCCCATTAAAAACATTCAAATTATCGAAAACCATTGAATGTGAAAATAATCACACAATTTCCATCAATGTTTTCCTCAAAAAACTGTCGGAATTTTTATTCACATTAATGGTACCATTTAAATAATTAACAAGACGCTCTGCGGAGCGTTAACTCGCTGGGGCTATACTAGACTTGGTTAGGGTCTGAACTTCAGGTTAGTTGAAGTCCGTCTCTAGCTCATTTTCGCACCTTTTTTGACCGCTCGCGTGCATCGCTATTTTCAACCCCTTGAGAGACGGACTTGAACCCGAGTCTAGGGCTATACAAATACGCACATCACTGTACATGATACATACAGTACACAGCTATTTCAAATAAGATTTAAGGTCTTCCCCGAGCTAAGCGGAAAAGTCTATACCGGCACGAAAGACTTACATGTAACACAGTACTAAAATGCGGTAGGCCCTACAAGTAAAGTTATATTTTATAGTACGCTACATTCTATTTCTTCAAGACTGTCAGCCGCCAGTTGGTCCGTACTGGTCCGTACGCTAGGATTAAACTGCGCTTTAAAGATGCGGCACAGTCTGATCTGCGCATGTGCACAAAGGAGCCCTTTTTTTATTTACAAACAGTTTATTTAGGTTTTTATTTCATTTTATGTTCTTGCAAAGCTTGATTGTTGCCTCTTGAAATTTATTATACTCTAGAATCATGAAAATATACATAGTTGTCGAATAAAATTCAATATTCTGGACACCGAAATGTAAACAAAGCCTTTGTTTACATACGGACTGTACCGCATCTTTAAAACGTTCAAAATAAAATATTGGGGGGCTTTTGGGCTCAAAATACTAACAAAATGAAGAGAGAAGTGAGACGAATCCACTGGTATATGGCCGATAAAGAGAAAACCAATGTTACCAAAGTTATCAAGGATTAAACATACTGCATTAATAATTTTGAGCGACTTGTCAACAATACAATTATTTCGCTTTGCTTTCAACTGACAAAGGCCATATTCGCTAGAATATTGTTGTTTAGTAATACTGTACATTTGACATTCGTAATTAGTACAATTTCTAACGCTGAATCGAACGGTAGTATTTTTATCCTCAATACGTACTGCGAGCGATTTATCAACAATACAATTTCGCTTGATTTTCAAAGGCAATAAATCGCTAGAATACAGGTGTTTAGTAATACACTTGACATCCGTAAGTACAATTTCTTACGCTGAATCGTATGGAACGGTGTCGCTTTCTTCTCAAAATATAAAGCAGCGCAGCCAAACGTAACTTGCGATTTGCGAAGGTTGCTGTTTCCATGTCGAAATTCCTTGTAAAATTGTTCAATTTTCCCGAATATTCCTCAAAATGCAGGGTTATTTATGGATAATTTGGGTAAAAATTGGCAGGAGCCGCAGGAGCTCTATGGATAATTTGGGTAAAAATTAGGTAGCTCATTAATATTCTATTTTGTGGCTATCGATCTTCGATCCACTATCGGAGAAAAATGCGAGCCGAAACCTATACTCGTCCGGGGCACACTCGTCCGTCCCATTTGTAAAACCCATCAATGGATAAGGCAAATAATTACCATCAATGGTTTTCCTTTTTTACACCATGGATTTTATTGATCATGGTGATTATAGTTTTTGCCATGAATGATAAGAATGAGTTTTATTTATAATATTAGATTATGTTAATTGCTGTGAATATTGATGTGAATATCGCCAACAGAATATATTCGCGGTATTTAAATGAAACTCATTAATGTGAATCAAAATTCCGACAGTTTGTAGAAAAAAAGCATTGATGGAAATTGTATATTATTTTCACGTCAATGCTTTTCAATAATTTGAATGGTTTTAATGGGAAGTACATTTCAAAAAGTTTAAACCATCAATGGATTTTATTATATGGCAAGCATCACTTCCGGTGAAATGGCGGAATGCGATTGGCTGAGAAGCACTTTCAGCAGTCCATTATTTTCCCCTAATGGACCGGCGGTCCATTACGTAAAAACAAACGCATGTATTTTTACGTAAAAACAGCAAAACTAATTGAAACTTTGAAAATTATAATTTAATTTGTTATTAATAAGATATCTGCGAATGCTTTTTAGTGGAAAACAAGGAAGATATTGCTATTTTTTATTTTCTTCGACCAAATGTGAACCACGCTACTAATATATGCATTTCAAATCATGCATTTCTTGTTTGTTTCAAGTATAAATGCCTATAAATGCCATATAATAAACTTTTTATTAACCTCGCTTGCTCGGTCTTTACGGAGAAATATCGGACCTCGGTCTTTTTGTACAAACCTCGCCCTACGGGGTCGATCTCTACAAAAAAATACCTCTGTCCGATATTTCTCTGTACAGACCTCGCATTCGGTAAATAAGAAGTTAATACTAAGCTTATTTTTTCACGCTTATTTATACTAAGCTTATTTTTTCACGCTTATTTATACTAAGCTTATTTTTTCACGCTTATTTATACTAAGCTTATTTTATCAATATACCATTATAGATTTTTAATTTTTCTCCCGTTCTATTACCAGACTCGTACCCTCGACCTACAGTTGCAAGCTGAATTCAGCGATACCTTGCGCGTTTAAGTATGGATTCATACGCGCGAGCTCAATTGCTAGAACATGTTGAAAATAATTAATAAAAAAATGACTGTATATTACGATATGTTTCCTAGGGCATTGAACATAATCTTCGGAAAGACATGTGGAAGTTCTTGTTGGGATTTTATGCTTATGATCAGAGCTATAAAGAACGTATACAGACACGAAAACAAAAATGGTATAAACTTAAACTTTATCTGTTGTAATGGTCGTATCCTTTATTTGTCCAGTGTTACTACAGAAGGAAACCGAAATACACGCGTAAAATCTCACATCTTGTAGCAAATCTGCCAGCAAGCCGTCAACAAGTTGTGTTCGTACTGCTTGTCCCAAATTGTCAACAAGTTTGGAACAAGCTGTTAACCAACTTCTAACAGCCTTGTTGATATTATCGGACTTGTTGCAAGGTTTCCAACAAGTCCGATACAGTCATGATATAACAACATTGTTACAACCTTGTGTCATCAACCTTGTAACATTCTTGTTCCTTGTAACATCCAAAAACTAAAGCAAGAAGAATTCAAGGACATTCAAGCACTCTTTACAAATTCAAGGACATTCAAGGCCTTGAATTTTTGTTTTCAAATTCAAGGACATTCAAGGACTTTCAAGTTTTGTACGAACCCTGCCTTGTAATCAGACAACTGCATATTTCAATTCAATTCAATTGTCAATTCAATTTATTAAAAAATATATAAATACGCATATTGCAGGAATCACACTCTAGGAGGTAAAAGATACAATGTATCCCATTTCTTTATAGGAATGAATACGTTACAATGAAACAGCAATGGCAATCCATTACTCCACAACAAGAAAAAAATTTCTCGCTTATGCGAGAGAGAAAACATCTTGTGGGTAGGTACATTTCTCCATTTTACGGAAAGACTTAACCCAAGGTGACGGGCCTGACGGCTGCGATGGTGGTGGTGTGATAGAGAGACTTAACTCCAGCGGCGGATTTACCGTGGGGGTCTGGTGATGTCCAGCAACCCCCAGAGAAGTCCAGCACCACTTAACAAAAATCTGCTTGACCATACACGTCGGGCCTGAAATAAGCGGCTGGTCACGATTGTCCGGTATGAAAACGTACTTGTCCGGCCTTAACTGTTTTTGCCGGACAGTTTATCCGGCAGCATATTAATACATCTATTGGTGAAACTATGTTTATAACTGCCATTAAAAATACAATATGCCTGTGAAAATGCTGTGAAATTTATTGTTCGATTCCGTATGGTATAATGGACTAGTGGCTTAATTGTTGTTACTAAGCTTTTCACAAAAAACTATATTTGCTCTAAATTGCGTTAATATTTTTTGTCAGGCACAAACTGTCCAGTGTCAGGCACCAATCAGTTGGTACAGTACCTGACACTTTGTCAGGCACCGTAATTGGAAGTTTATTTTCAGGCTTGGTACATTTTCTACTTTTCGAATAGCGAAACCTCAGTCTACTGTTAGCGCGTGCCGATTTCTTAAAACAATTTGATTTGTGAGCTCATGAGAAAATACTCGAAATGCTTTGGTTAAATATCATGGTTAAACATGTAAACATGTCGAGGTTATAGACAAATATACTGTACTTTGACAAGCAAATTTACTGTACTATGCTACAGCAACTGTCTAGTCATGCATCTGTGATAAAAGCCGATATAAACTTTATGTTCAAAAGATAATGTAAAACGTAACGGTCGGCGGCCCTGCGGCGAACATGCAGATTCGGCCATCTCAAATAATGCCCTTATAATGGTAATGTTGGGATAGTTGCATTGCAGACTGCAGAGGGGAGTGGGCAGTAAGGTTGCCACGTGGAAAACCTGCACCCTCCTTGCAGATGAGGCAAAATCTGCCTCTGTACATCTACCTCTGCATGATCTAACCATTCTTAACTCGACTAACTCTGCCATATTCTTCCCTTCTAGACAAAGACGTAATTAGAACAGATCGCAAACATCCTTTCTATAAAGAGGAGCCATCAAACACGAACACTAACAAACTATACGATATCCTTATGACGTACTGCATGTATAATTTTGACTTGGGTAAGTGTCGCCTGTCTGGGGCTGGTTGTGGGTGGCACCGAAGAGAAATGTCTTTCTTGATATAAATTTTGCTGATCCAACCATTAATCAGTATTAATAAAAAGTGCAAAAAAGTTTTTACCCAACCTCAAATATCAATTAAAAAAATAAATACCCACCCCTGGCTAAAACCTTGTCACACAATGGACAAGTTGTATGTTAGACTAAATTTTAATCTAAGTAAAGAGAAGGGAATAAAACACAACAGTTAAAAAGAACTTATTAAAATCAGTAAAATTGCAAAATTTGATTACGAAATGTTGTAAAATACAGAAAATATAGCCTTGCGAAGTTTGCATATTTTCAGTATGTTTGTATTACGTGCGGAAATTTGAGCCGAAAATAGTAACAATTTCCGCACGTAATAACGTGCGGAAATTGTTACTATTTTCGGCTCAAATTTCCGCACGTAATACAAACATACTGAAAATATGCAAACTTCGCAAGACTATATTTTCTGTATTTTACAACATTTCGTAACCAAACTTTGCAATTTTACTGATTTTAATAAGTTCTTTACGGTGTTGTCACACATGTCCTTTTTAATAATACCACTTCTGTGACATGAGTTTGATAACTGCTTGTGTAATTTTCTATACTCCCTATAGTCTAAACACCATTTGCCTCCTGACAAATTGGAAAATGATCAAGATAGTGACTCTGATTGATTTTAATGCATATTGTATTGACATATATGTTGACATTGTTTTTTAGTCTTCAATATTTGAGTGAGTCATGCTTTGCCTTGGGAAATGACGATAAATTTGTATTACCCAACCTTTGAGTTGTTTTGTTTTTTAATTCACCCAACCTTTTACTCACTCAAAATTTTGTCAAAACGTTGTTGAAAATGGCGCTTCAGTTAGGAGTGAACAACGTTTTTCAGTACGACAACAATGAAAAGCAAATGCAACGCTTACCTGGGATTTCCAATCTGTATCTTCCCTGAGAATGTTTTCTGACAGCGACAGTTTAATAGTAGAAACTTTTCAAACGCTATCGCTTTGGCTTTTTTTGCGAGACCAGAACATATTTTTGCACACGAGTATTTCAAAGTAGGACCCATTACATGAAGAAACATGATATGTAATTGCCAAACAGCTTCACTTTGGTTTTAACGTAGACATCTAACGGAAAAACTGCTTTATTCTTTGTGTTTTTTCAATATTTGAAATTCCCGCCAATATTCCCGCCAAAATCATGTTATTCAAATGCTTGTCAGCGCTCGTTAATCACGCATTACTTCATGTAATTTTGTGTTTAAACGCCCCAGGACTCACGCACAAGTTGTTACAGGTTTGCAATGCCATTCAAGTTGTTACAAATCTGTTCACAAGCTGTCGACAAGTTGTGTTCGCACTGCTTGTTCCCAGTTGTTGTGACAAGCTTGATGGCATTATCAGACTTGTTACAAGGTTGTTCTAACAAGTCTGATACATATAATAAGAATGTTACAAGGTTGACGACACAAGGTTGTAACAATACTGTTATATCATGACTTGTTAACAGCTTGTTTCAAACTTGTAGACAACTTGACAAGCAGTACGAATTTAACTTGCTGACGACAAGATATGAGATTTTTTCATGTGTATCCGACTAACTCACTGAGCTATACATATTTCTGGAGGACGTGTTCGGCATAAAAACGTATCGCTTTTTTGACTGACGAGAGATGGGAGAAGTTTCTTTGGCCTTACTGGACCCTAGGGAGAACAGTTTAGAACTGATAAAGCTATCCAGTATAAATAAGGTTAGTTTGGATATAGAGGGTAAACTAGCTCCTAAAGTTTCTCTATATTTTTTATCCAAGGCTATGTGCAAGGCATGAGTGATCTGTTATCTCCCATTTTGTTTATAATGGACGACGAAGCGGACTCGTTCTGGTGTTTTGTTGGTTTTATGGAAATGGTCGTAAGTACAATCTCTCTGGACCCCCATGTTTGAGATATATTTTTTAAGTAGTTCAGACACAAACCACGACTGCTTATTGTAGAATACTACCTACACTGGACCACCACGTTTGAGATATATTTTTTAAGTAGTTCAGACACAAACCACGACTGCTTATTGTAGAATACTACCTACACTGGACCACCACGTTTGAGATATCTTTTTCAGTAGTTCAGACACAAACCACGACTGCTTATTGTAGAATACTACCTACACTGGACCACCACGTTTGAGATATCTTTTTCAGTAGTTCAGACACAAACCACGACTGCTTATTGTAGAATACTACCTACACTGGACCACCACGTTTGAGATATCTTTTTCAGTAGTTCAGACACAAACCACGACTGCTTATTGTAGAATACTACCTACACTGGACCACCACGTTTGAGATATATTTTTCAGGTAGTTCAGACACAAACCACGGCAGCTTATTGTATAGAATACTATCTGCAATGGACCACCACGTTTGAAATATGTTTTTCACGTAGTTCAGACACAAACCACGACAGCTTATTGTAGAATGCTACAGTACCTACACTGGACCACCACGTTTGAGATATCTTTTTCAGGTAGTTCAGACACAAACCACGACAGCTTATTGTAGAATACTACCCACACTGGACCACCATGTTTGAGATATCTTTTTCAGGTAGTTCAGACACAAACCACGACAGCTTATTGTAGAATACTACCTACACTGGACCACCATGTTTGAGATATCTTTTTCAGGTAGTTCAGACACAAACCACGACAGCTTATTGTAGAATACTACCTACACTGGACCACCATGTTTGAGATATCTTTTTCAGGTAGTTCAGACACAAACCACAACGGCTTATTCTAGAAAACTACTGTACCTACACTGGACCACCATGTTTGAGATATCTTTTTGAGGTAGTTCAGACACAAACCACAATAGCTTATTGTAGAATACTACCTACATCTTAGCTTCTGATTAAAAACTTATTTAATGTATAAACTTTCCACTGTAGGCAGACAACTTTGAAATGAAACAGGCGGCTATCCATCGACAACTGGACAATTTAAAAACACTTTTGCAATATGTGTATCCTAGACTGTATCATCATTTTGGTTAGTTTTTTAATATTATATAGTCTTGCAGTGATATTTCGAAACCTAGCTTTTTATAGCCTGTAATATTTCAGACACGTATACAGCTAATTCAAAAAAGGTTGTCCTTTGCAAACCTTAAACTTTAAACCTTAAACTCTAAGCGTGCAAAGCATAACGGGAGCATCATTTAATCAGTTTAGAAATCATATATGAGGCTCATTTCTTAGAGACATGGTAAATATCACCTTACAAGAACAATTCATTCACAAATAGCTGCAATATTCAACTACTAAGCTTGAAACTTGTGCTCCCATTAGGCTTTGCACGCTTAGAGTTTAGATTTTAAGGTTTGCAAAGGACAACCTTTTTTGAATTGGCTGTATACTGTAACATACCTGGTTGCATGAAGACGCTAGACTGGAGTGTTTGAAACGTTTGGATCGTGAATGTAATTTGTTCGATTACATTCATTTTGTTGAACCAGAGCAGCGAGACATATCTGACGTTTTTATTTTGTTGTTTAGAAAAAAATGAGTCTGGAAATTTATATTTTTGTTTCCGGTGGTTGCTGATCCTTTTCAAAAGAGAGTTTATTTTTGAAGACGTCATGAGACTATGGGAGGTGAGACATATTATGGACGTCAGTGATGTTTGATTTTTACTTCAGGAAATTATTTTGCGGATTTTGAAGTATTAACAGCGGATATTTTCGAATGTGCAGAGTCTTCTTATACACCACTGCTTTATACAATGAAGTTTTATTTTTTTTATTTTAGTCGTTATGGGCACAAGATCTGTCTCCGAATTTTCACCTATTTATTTGTCTGGCTATTTTGAAAATGGAAAAAGACTTTATCATTGAAAACCAATATGGCTTCAATGAAATTCTAAAGGTTAGTTTTGGAGTGTTGCGTCCCAGCTCTGACGATGGATTTAAACCTGGATTTGAACCTATAGAATTGCTGAACGTTATACTAAAAGGACTAACGTTACATTTCAGCACATCAACGAGCTGTCAATGAAGATCAACCTTGAACAGATGTTGATAGAAGCTGAGAAATTATGCTTGCAGTTGAAGAAAGTTCGCTGTCTTCCTGATGACGTTACGGAAATCCTGACTGGAAAACCAGTGGAGAAACACGAGAAACGCCACTTTCCAGGTACAGTATCATGATTGTTGTGGTGGTGGTGATGGTGATACCAGACGATGATGGTGGTAATGGTGTTGATGATGATGGTACCAGATGGTGGTGGTACGAGGTGACGATGGTCGTACGAGATGGCGAAGATGACGATAGTGATGGTACCAGATGGTGATGATGGTGCTAACGATGATGGTGGTGGTACGAGATGATGGTAGCGGTACCAGATAATGGTGGTGGTGATGGTACGAGATGATGGTGGTGGTACGAGATGATGGTAGCGGTACCAGATAATGGTGGTGGTGATGGTACGAGATGATGGTGGTGGTACGAGATGATGGTAGCGGTACCAGATAATGGTGGTGGTGATGGTACGAGATGATGGTGGTGGTACCAGTGGTGACGATGGCGGTGAGGATGATGGTGGTGGTGGTGATGGTACGAGATGATCGTGAGTGTACAAGATGATCGTGGTGGTGGTACCAGATTGTGATGATGATGGTACCAGATGGTGATGACGATGGTACCAGATGGTGATCACCTATACCAGATGATGGTGGTGATGGTCACCTAACCATTATCTAACCATGCTTAACTCAGCAATGAGTCTCTGAGTCCTGTACAACATTAGAATATGTACTAAGCAGAGAGAGCAAATGGGAAAGACTAAATCCACTCCCACGAGTTCTGTTCAACATCAGATTTCATTACTCTTCCTGCAATCCACATCCAAGAACATGTACTTAACAATACTCCATACAATATTCCCTCTAGGCAAGCCAGTGTTGGTCAAGAACTCAACAGACGAAACAGACAGTGCAGGTCCGTCACAGACAGCAGACTACAGCGACGACGAAATTGAAGTCTTGAGTGAATACACTGAGAGTACAGACAATGAAACAGAAAGCAAACAAGAAAAGACTCCGACCCCTATTCAAACAAACACTGAAGTAAATTCTGAAATGTTTGTTAGTGCCGTTCAAACTCAGGCTGACGAGGAATTAGTTGTGTTGTCAACAAATGATAAAGCTGTGTTTTAGATATTAAAATTTGGGTAGAAAATTGTATATAACGCACAGGGTGTATAAAAAAAGGTAACCCGACTTTGACATGTTATGACAGGCTTCTAGTTGTCGAATGATACCTTTCTTGTATCATTGCGATCAAAAATAGCCAAATATGATCCGATTTAAAAATGCCGCTCGAAATCGCATTTTCCCACCGTTGGGAATTGCTTGTAAAGCTATTGTCTGAGTGTTGAAATTATTCTCTGAGTATTCTGGAATTATTTGGGATTCAAATTTAAGTCGCTTGAATCAAGATGGAACAGCGCATGTGTGAGCATCAAGTTTTGGTAAATTTCCAGTCGCAATTTTGCATCGATATTGAGTGATTAAAACATTTTGCAGAACAGGAAGTTTGCAGACTGGACTCGCAATGCCATGCGTTTCGCGAATGGGCAAACAAACTTTTAAGGCCCATTCCCACTCAGGAAAATTTTCCGCAGAAAGAAAACTTTGTAAAATGTGATTGGTCGACACAAGTTTTCCATCGGAAAAAAATTTTGAAAAATTTTCAACTTTTAACAATGATATTTTCGGAACATTTTCTGTCCGTGGAAATTTTTCTTGAGTGGAAATGAATATTTAAATCCTAAAAGTGGAAAAATACAATTTCAACCGATGACTTTAAATCAGATCGTATAGTTGGTCATTTCTTTATCGCAATGATTCCATAAAGGTGTCATTCGACAGCTGAGAGCCTGATCTTTATAAATACGTAAACAGAAAAGTTATAAACGTAAGAATTAACACACGATAAGCTGTCAAATTTGCATACCTTTTTTATATACACCCTTGTATAGATAGTAAACATGTATTGGGTTCATGATAGGCGAGTCCTATCACAGTTGTGTTGCTAAGTGTCAGGCCTAGAAAATATATTTCTCTTCTGGCAGAAAAATCAAAAAATAAAAATTCCCTGTGTAAGTCAAATATAAAACTTCCTGCATATGTAGATCTCAGAGAACGGTGAGGGGTGCCAAAAATAGGCACATTCTATAGCCACAAACCATGGCCTAAGGTATGCCAAAAACAGACACACTTCATAGCCACAAATATAAGGTACTCAGGGATCAATATAACGGTCGGCCATTAGCCGAGCAAAATGCTGATATGGCCGTCTACTGATTACTCTGCACGGACATTGTTCCCAACCGTTTTGTCTCATCAATTTCAATAGTTTTTTCTTTCTTAAAATTTATTGTTGCAAATCTTTTTAAATTAAACAAAATCTGAAAACTTTAACACATGCAAACAAATATTCCGTCTGCTAGACAATCATAGAATCTGACTTCGTCCCGATCCACACAATAACAATGTCATCTCGTGTGTTAAGAGAAATATTTTATATTATATAATACCTTATTAAATTCTAATCGTTTAATTGGCTGTTTATGGTCACGTGATATTGAATAGAAAATTCCATTTCCCAAGAGTGCAATGGAACGCGTTCCATTGCACTCTCCGCGAGTGCAATGGAATAAAACGTATAGTACAATTGCACTCTTTGTGTTTTCGATAAATCGCATCCCTCAAAATGCTTCTCATACGAATTTATTAGTCTGTTCTGGACTTTTGGTATTATATAAAACAAATAATGAATGTTTCTTCGTGCAATGGTAAGAATATTTTCGATTCATTCGGTGAAAGATGGAATGTTCCATTCAACTCGGCTGTCGCCTCGTTGAATGGAACATTCCATCTTTCACCTCATGAAAATATTCTTACCATTGCACGAAGAAACATTCATTATTTGTATATTATATCAATTATATATACTATTGTTAATGAGTAAGTTGTCGTTGATATTGTGTAATTTTGTTAACCATTATGCATGTGGTTTTGGACTTTTGGTACGTAGTTGTTTTGGTTTCTAGTACTGTGACAACCGGCAACGTCTCTTTTGAGAATAATGAAGTGTCGGATCATGTACCACAAAAACATGGGTTGGTCTGACACAATGTCAGACCAAGTTTTCATAATTATATTGAACTCTGAAGGTACTGAAAGCAGGCGTACTTTTATAGTTTATAGAGTGTTTGCATGTAAGTCATAAAATTTCTAAAAGCTTAAGCGTTTAACATATATAGTTGCCCATTTTATATATTTTGTATATCCTTACTACAAGTATTCCTGGCAAATTTCAAGTCGATACAGTAATTCCTTCGCGAGTTAAAGGTGCTTGAATCATTTATATTGCTGACGTCAGCATTATTTTGAAAGGCCGTTATAAGCTACGCGGTTTTCCAAACATAAGTCGAAATATTTTGGTGGGCTTTCAAAAGTTTTATATAATTAATATCAAACACAATTGTGGACCTGTGTGATAAAATATATCTTTTCTTGAGCATTTACTACACAGCCGCCATGTTGGTGGTCCAATATTACGCAATCTCAGACCACCAACATGGCGGCCGTGTAGTAAATGCCCAAGGAAAGATATATTTTATCACACAGGTCCACAATTGTGTTTGATGTTAAGTATATAAAACTTTTGAAAGCCGACCGAACTATTTCAACTTACGTTTGGAAAACCGCGTAGCTTATAACGGCCTTTCAAAATAATGCTGACGTCAGCAATATAAATTATTCAAGCCCCTTCAACTTGCGAATGAATTACTGCATCGACTTGAAATTTGCCAGGAATACTTGTAGCGGTAAGGATATACAAAATATATAAAATGGGCAACTATATATGTTAAACGCGCTTTTAGAATGTTTATGACGTCACATGCAAACACTCTATAGCCACAAACCGCGGCTATAAGGTATACTGAAAACAGACACACTTCGTAGCCACAAACCATGGCTATAAGGTATGCTGAAAACAGGCGTACTTTAAAGCCACAAACCACGGCTATAAGGTATGCTGAAAACAGGCGTACTTTAAAGCCACAAACCATGGCTATAAGGTACTGTAGCTATGCCGAAAAGCAGGATGGATGCCGAAAACATGCGTACTTTATAGCCACAAATCTTGGCTATTAAGCCGGTTTTCCACCAGGCGGAATTTTGCGCGCGGAGCGGAATTTCTCTTTGTCTTTTCTAATTAGTTCCACCCGAGAAATCACAAGACAATGAGAAATTCTGCTACGCGCGGAAAATTCCCCCTAGTGGAAAACGGCCTTATAGATGATGTCCACTCCTGTGCGCATGCGCGAACTTTGTTTACGTTTTGAACTGCTATATTTGTAACATATGATACACTAACTGAGTATCTAACACTTTTCTGGTTCGCTATACTTGTAAATGAGTATAAACTCTACGTTTCAATTAAAAAAAGTTCGAAAGATGCAAAATGTTTGCAATGTTTATATCTGGGGGTCCCCCTTTATTATGAGGCAAAAAAAAATATGTGGGTTTCCGGTTTCCCGACCCTACCTAGCTTTTGGACGTCGAAATCCCGACCCTAAACTTTTTTATTGGATCATGCTTGTAAATGTTTCCACTTAGAGGAAAAAGTTTGTGGAAAATTGAAATTTGAGGCAATATTAGGGAAATTTATCTTTGGATGTGGAAGCACTGACTAAACAAAATGGCGTCCCTTATTCGGAAAATTAAAAAAAAGTTTAAAAAAAAAGTTAAAACCGACCTACCCTACCTAAGTTTTTATAAGAAGAAACCGGAAACCCACATATTTATTTTGGGCCTGAGCAGAACTGATGCGCAGAACGGAGTGGAAATCATCTTTAATTTAAGGTATTTCGAAAACAGGCGTATTTTATAGCCACAAATACAAATTGTAAACAAGTAAATTATACTGCATTCTAGCATAAATTTCCTGAGGCATATTTTTCAGGTATAAAGAGTTTTTTTTGGATTAAAATAATCATTAAACGAAGCAAAATATCTAATAGTTTATAATACAATTGAGAATCATTAGAATTCAAGATTATTCAGATCGAGTTTTGGATCCAGAATTTTAATCATCGTCACTAAAGGACGAGGCGCTTGACGGCTCATCATCATCGCTATCCTTAGAAACTTGACCACCACCTGGAGCAGGGGCATCTGGGGTCCTTGAATGATAAATAGGGATTTATTTATCAGTCCCATAATATCCAGCAAGCGAGTACACATTTTCTGGGGTGACGCTGAATATATGCTGGAGGCAGTGTATCGACTCTCCAAAATTAAAATTTCTTTCAAATTTTCATAAAGGAAGAAAATTTGCACATATTTTTCCGCTTCTCTCAAAGGCAATAAACATTTCCAGCTTTCGACTAATTTTTTATCTAGACAATTAAGACGAAATATATTATATCATTATAGCTAAAATTAGTAAAATTGCAAAGTTCGGTTTGCGAAATGCCGAAATGTTGTGAAATACGAAAAATATAGCCCTGTGAAATTAGCAAATGTTCAGTATTTTAGTATTACGAGCGGTAAAAATAACCATTTTTGAGCCGAAAGTGGTTATTTTTACCGCGCGTAATACTAAAATACTGAAAATTCGCTAATTTCACAACTCCACAAGGCTATATTTTCCGTATTTTATAACATTTCGCAACCAAACTTTGCGATTTCACTAATTTTAGGATGCTCTTCGAGCTATAATGATATATTTCGTCTTTCTTGTCTAGATAAAAATTAGTCGATAGCCGGAATTGTCGATTGTTTCAAATTCGAAATTTCCATTAAATAACTGGAAAGGAAATTTTTCCAGAATCCTGTATACTCTAGATGTCATGTAGATGTATATTATTTCAAGGTACTTACTCAAGTAGGGAAGGATCCAACCCATCAGCTATGACTTTCGGTTGTAGATCTTGGAGCCGAACACCCTAAATATGATTAATTAAAGATGAAATGATGATTGGTCAAACAGTAGAACACCTCGAACTCGCTTAGAGCTACGAGGACAAGTCGGTTCGAGTTGGTGATATTTCGAACTGAATCTAATTCCTTCGATATACTAAACTCAGTTCCGAACCAACTCGAACAGACTTGACCTCGTAGCTCAGTTTGTCGAGCATTGGACTAATATCCCAAAGGTCGCGGGTTTGATTCCCACCGTGGTCAGGCAAACTTTTCAGCTTGCCCGGTGTGGATGCACACTCAGAGTAACATCACAAACATCATATTCACCTGAGTACATCACACCAACACACACAAAAATACGATAAGGTATGTTGTAAATAAACACTCAACATGTACATTAGACTTACCCCAGGGCCGCCGAGAGGGGGGGGGGGCAAATTGCCCCAGGTTCTGGGGGCCCCTAGAAAATTTTTGTTGGGCCCCAGTCATTATCAAAAGGGCCAAATATTTTTGCGCAAAGAACTAGATATTTGTTTTTTGGGGGCAAATTTATTTGGGGGGTTTACTTGGCTGTCAATGCTATGCATGCATTTAGTAGTAGTAGTAGTGTTAGTATATTAGTATATAGATTATTAATTAATTAATACCATGTAAATATTTTATACATTGGTATAGGTATTTTGTCGAGCACTTCTATCATGAGCCCCTGGCTCGAGTGATTGGGCAACCACACTCTGTGTCATTCGACATTAAATAAATTATTCTATTCTATTCCAGAAACAATTTTTGGACTTACCACTTTTATCAAGCGAAAATATTTTGCATAGCGTGGATCTTGTCTAACAGTCATAACTAAGAAATTGAACAAAATAATTATATTCATACCTAGGCATTTTATTGCCCAAAAGATACACGAAAAGCTTAGGCCATAGGTTTTTAACCCTTTACCTGCAAGTGGTAATGCGCCCTCGTGCTCCCGACTTTATTTTTACTCTGTCTAACACCAAGGCCACATAAAATAAATTCCTTGATTCTCATCACTACACTTTGAAAATGTCGAAGAGGCGGGAAGTTTATATTTTATATTTATATAATTTAATATATATCAATAAATAAAAGTGTCACAAACTGAAATAAACATATTTCTCCACGAACAATGACTGGCCCTTGAACTGAATGCGAAGTTCCATTAATTTTAAAATGCAATGAAATTTCTTTCAAGGTTCTATTTGTTTGAAATTGGCAGTTTAAAAACCCAATATAAAATATAAAAAACTTAACTGTCTTGAAATATTTTGTCGGGCGGTACATTTATATTGTATAACAAAAAAATAAAAAAATTCACGCGGCTCTTAAAATACAGTCGGGCGGCGATGAGAATCAAGGAATTTATTTTATGTGGCCCAAACAATATTTTACTCGACAAGGGGAGAGTGCTGTCACTCAAAGGGTTTGTCATACTGAGTTTGTCACTCATTAGTGAGCGGAGTCCCGGCTTTTGTCCAGCTGATAGGAGATCCGAGGTACTAACGATTTAACTTCCTTATCCGAAAAATCGCCAAGTCTAACCATTTGCTGATGTCAATGGGCAATTCCAGCTACAGAGTAAATTTTGATCTGGGCCAGAAGAACAAAATCCATCACCACAGCTAGAACGAGCATGTTAAAATTAGTAAAATTGCAAAGTTTGGCCACAAAATATTGTGAAATGCGGAAAACATAGCCCTGCGAAATTTGCAAATTTTGTATTGTATTACGCGCGGGAAAATACACCACATTTGGGCCGAAAGTGGTGTAAATTCCTGTGCGTAATACAAATTATTAAACACAAAATTTACGAATTTTGTAGGGCTATGTTTTCCACATTTTACAACATTTCGCGGCCAAACTTTGCAATTTTACTAATTCTAACATGCTCTTTCTAGCTGTGGTGATGGATTTTGTTCTTCTTGCCTAGATCAAAATTTAGTCTGTAGCTGAAATCAACCATTCAGTTTATTAAATTTATAAATTGCCACAAAAAAGGAATTATTTACAAGAGAAACGTATATTAATGAAAAATACATGTGACGCGGAAGCCCAAGTAGAAACCATAAGGCTTATTGATTTATGGGCGTCCTTATTTATACTTCCTTATTCCTAATATTGAATTCACAGCTCTGCTAGTAGTCAGATAGACGTAACTAAATTAGGCATATCTGAGTTAGAGACCCAAGTATTAAAAACACATTATAGTTGAGAGAATAAAAAGTTTTTTAATTTGAATACGAATTTTTAAAAAGTTGGTGCATTACGATCGAATATCGCTACTCAGTGTACGTCTAACATCAGACAATATTTTACTCGTCAAGGGGAGAGTGCTGTCACTCAAAGGGTTTGTTTATTGAGTTTGTCATTCATTAGTGAGCGGATTTCCCAACAGGCTTTTGTCCAGTTAATAGGAGATCCGAGGCACCTACAATTTAACATTCTTATCCGAGAAATCGCCAATTCTAAACATTTACTGATGTCACTGTAAAGGTAGCCATTTCTCCTCAGTTATTTGAGTTATTTTTACTGATTGACCGATAATCGGTATCGGACCGATTTTTGCCTTATCAGCAAACAATCGGAATTGGTAGAATTAGCTATATTTCCAATTGTCTAAAAATGATTGTCGACTTTACTCGGTCGACTGATATTATGACGTCATTATAAAATCAGTATTGGCATCGGTATCTGGCAGATTGTGGCATGAATAATCGGTAATTTCCAATTGTTGCGCAATCTGTCAATTACTAGCTATTTTACTCATCAAGGAGAGAGTGCTGCCACTCAATGGGTTAATACCTTGTTGTGGTGGTTCCTCTTCAACTGGTGGTGGTGCTTCATCATTCTAACAGAATAGAAAGAAAACACTTGTAAGCGACGTGAAGGTCAAATGCTCCACTGAAGTACTGTAAACCTCCGACTATAAGCCCGGGCTTACATTCTTTCATAAGCGGGCTTTTGTGTTAGTAATAAAAAAGTCAGTCATAAACAGGAAAATAAACATGTATTATTATTAATAACACACTTTGATTAACATATTAAGCTATAAAGACAATGACAATGTTTTTAAATATTGTTCTCTGAGCTATATTAAAAGACAATGACAATGTTGAATAACGTAGTGGGTTACTGGGCTTATCTTCGTGGGACTTATACTCGTGGAACTTATATTCGTGGGACTTATATTTGGGGGGGGGGGGGGGGGGGGGGGGCTTATATTCATATACTTACATTAGGGACATTAGTATCAGCAACACTAGGTGACGGTGTTGGCATAGCAACAGCTGGTTCATTTGGGGCAGGTCTGGCTGTGGCAGTTTCTGCTACACTAACATTTTCCAAGCCAGGAATTGATGCTAGCTGTAAAGGAAATGTTGCAAGTTTATTACAGTTTGCAGTTGTATGTGACATGTGTTGATGATGGTGGTGACAATAGTGATGATTGTGGGATAATGATGGTGGTGGTGATGAAGGTGATTGTGATGATGGTGATGAACTGATGATGGTGATGATAGTGATATGATGGTGGTGATGATGATGGTGACAATGATGATCATGATGATGGTGGTGACGATTGTGACGATGGTGGTGATAGTTGTGGTGATGATGGTGATAGTTGTGGTGATGATGATGATGGTGATAGTTGTGGTGATGATGATGATGGTGATAGTTGTGGTGATGATGATGGTGATAGTTGTGGTGATGATGATGGTGATAGTTGTGGTGATGATGATGGTGATAGTTGTGGTGATGATGATGGTGATAGTTGTGGTGATGATGATGGTGATAGTTGTGGTGGTGATGATGGTGATAGTTGTGGTGATGATGATGGTGATAGTTGTGGTGATGATGATGATGGTGATAGTTGTGGTGATGATGATGGTGATAGTTGTGGTGATGATGGTGGTGATAGTTGTGGTGATGATGATGATGGTGGTCATCATGTTTAATTTTACCTTTGCTTCTAAAATGCTCATCGTGACATCAACTCTTTGAAGTCTGTTGGAAAGATCTGATAATTTCTAAATAAAACAAAACTTAGAATTTACCCATGCAAAATTCCTATTGTGATCACACTGTGTGAAAAAATCATATCAATGCTGAATTCAAAGGGGTCAGACTTTTAGGGGCAGTGCAACATTTCAATATCCAACTTTTCGTGAGAGTTGCTTTAATTCTTACCTCTTCGCAGACGCAGGAAAATCTGTTTAAAAAGGTCACCGTATGAGTTATAAAATGATTCAGAAATGCAATAGTTCTTTTCTGTTGTATTGAGCCAACCTGATGATGCAAAGGATTTAGAATTTTACTATGTGTCAGAATGTTCATATTATATATGCTCACAATTTATAGTGAAAATAGGCATAAAAATGTATTAATATAATTTGGTCAACCTGCATGCAGTTACAACTTTATACACAAGAGTTGAGTTAATTAAAATAATGTGATATATATGATGTCATATATATGTTATAAGTTTATAATATGTAATAGTCTTGAATTTGGTGGCAAATTAGTAAGTTTAATCATATTGCTTCTATTACTGAAACCTACAAACTTATATTACGTACTGAACAACCCATACAGTGATACAGATTATAGGTATCTATTATTTCTATGGTACATTAACGGAACAAAATTCCAACAGGATATATTTTCGAAACCATTTAATTGACATTAAATTTTCAACTAAATTATCACGCGAAATCCTACCTTAGTTAAGTCAATAGCTGGCCCCATAATGGGCAATCCGTCGCTGTCCATTTTGGGGCAAACAGAAGCAAAATTTTATCCAAACAATCGATTTAAATACCAAAATTTTAATTATACACATTTGCGGAATTGACCGCCATCTTGGTTTTAACTTTAGTAAAAAATATCCCCCAAAAAGCCCTAATAGTCCCCCAGTATATCCCTCTATAATGTACATTGTTACCGCCAATTGTACATTAATATATCCAAAATTATGCAGTATTGTTGTATAATGTACCTTATCTTGTACAACATAACCATCCATATAACCCTCAAATAAAGGAATATTATCCCATGATGTACAAAGTATGAGTTCTCACGAAGACGATTTATTTGATTCTGTTATTTTCTTCGAAGAAAAGTAAGCAAAATAACCTTAATTCAAATAAACAATGTTAGTTTGTGTGCTTGGCTAAACTGACTTTCCATTTCTTTATTGAAATAAAAGTCTAGGACTCTCTATATAAACCTAAAACATTTGCTGAGCATGACCATTTAATATCACCGGTCCACCATCATTACCATCACCACCACCACCACCATCACTACCACCATCATCACCACCAGTCCACCATTATCACCACCATCATTACTATCATCATCACCACCATCACCACCACCATCACTGCCATCATCACCACCATGATCATCACCATCATCACCACCACCATCATCACCACCACCACCACCATCATCATCACCGCCATCATCACCATCACCATCATGATCATCACCACCACCATGATCACCACCACCACCGTCATCACCACCACCATGACCCATCATCGTCACTACCACCATCATCACCACCACCATCATCACCACCATGATCATCACCACCACCATCACCACCACCACCATCATCACCATCA